GAACCTCCCAGTGCCAATGAAAGGAGAGTCTATCTGGTCACAAGACAAGTCTACTAATTTAGTTAAGCCTACAAAGCAAGTTCCTCATCCGACTGTTTTTTATGATAATTGCTGCCGTGTCTGGCCCTGCCAGAAAGGAGCTACAGCTCAGCGTCCACTGGCCTAATGACCCAGGGATGACAGCCTTCACGGAGACAAAGACAAATGTCAATTAGCACGGAATGTGGAAGACGAGTCAGAAATGTCACACAAAGCAAAGGCCAGTGACGGCGGATTAAAAGTTCTCCCCAGTGCACACACATTTTTCTTTTGTTTTGCCATCTTTTAAATTAACTAACCTAAAAAATATATATAAATTGAGACAGGAGCTAAGATACCACCCTCCCCGCCTCCGTCGCTTAGTGGCTCTTCTGCAATACAGGACCCAAGCACTGTGACATTCTCAAAGTCAGTGTGACCTCCTAACCTCATGAAGTTAGTGAATGATACTTAGATGGGGCTGGCCACAGCCTCGGTTTCTTGTCCCTGGGTTGAACTCTTCCATCTCCCTGCCCTGAACTGCCCAGAGGATATAGGGATCAGATGTGAATAAGCATGCCCTAGTGGATTCTTCCAGAAATTTCCTGGCCTCCATTTCCTAACATTCAGGATCATGACGCAGTTTGGATCCCACCCTCTTAAAGGACAGCTGCCTCTTCCCCCTGGAACCCATCCCCCAGCCACCCATACTGATGCTTCCTTGCCTGGGGACAGATGGAGCTAACCCTGCTGGTTGTCTTGGGAACCAAGGTTAATTAGTCAACTCGGATTTCAACGCTGATGTTGGCAGCATGTCTCAGCGAGGACCCTTGGAAATAGCTGTCCTTGGTTGTATGATTTCCTCAAATGAAAAATGCCCATAGAGTGCTCCACTCTGCCCAGAACTTCCTTCCCTATGTGTTGTCTTGGGATTTTTCTCTAGTGTGGCACAAATCCTCCAGCAGTGGGGAGTAGCCCACTCTCCCGCCTGGGTCTAAATCTAATAAACCAGGTGAAATGGAAACTTCTGCTATTATCTGAGGCAGAAAGTCTATTTGGGGCTAAACTCTCCCCAGACATTGTGCTGCCATTTCTGCCAAGGGAACTGGACTAAAACGTAGAAAAACAAAGCTGTTCTCAGGGAAACTAGGAAAGTCTCAGTCCTCACCCAGGTGTGGCCAGAAGGATAGACAGATGTTCACGTGCTGTAATTGACTTGACCACGGAACTTACAATGAGTCCCATAAGTGCAAATGTTCTGTCCCTTACAACACACCAAGGAGGCATGAAGAATCACTGTGATGATTTAAGGACATGATACATGTCCCTTCTTTATTCATTCATTCATTCACTCATGCATCCATCCATTCGTCATTCATTCACTCATCCATCCATCCATCCATCCACCTGAGGAGCATTTATTGGGCACCTGTTACGTTTAGACCCTGTCATAGTCCATTTTGTGCTGCTATCACAGAATACCTTAAACTGGGTAATTTATAATAAACAAATTTATTGCCGGGTGCTTCTGGGAGTTGGTGAGTCCAAGATTAAGGGGCTGGCATCTGGCAAGGGGCTTCCTGTTGCATCATTCCATGGCGGAAAGGGCAGAGAGAGGACAAGAGAGAGCAAGAGGTCAAACTCACAGCATTGAGCCCTTTTAAACCCAGCATTAATCCGTTCTTGAGGGGGAGCCCTCACGGCCTGAACACCTGCCATTAGGTCCCGCCTCCCAACACTGTGGCATTGGAGATTAAGTTTCCAACACAGGCTTTTTGGGGGACACATTCAAGCCATAGCAGCCCCCACAATAATTAGCATAAAGTCAGGTCCACAGCAGGGGGTTAATTACACTGCTAAACAAAGTAACTGCCAAATATTCTGTGGACTTAAAGCTTGCCAGAGCCTCATAGAGCTACAAACGCATTCTTCTTCTTTTGTTGGCATTATTAAAGTTGCACAGCCAAACTCCCTACTTAGTATTCTTCTGATGAGACAGCGGAGAAACTACATGAAATATATCTGATAGAAGCAAACCAGACATAACTGAATCTTTCATTGGAATAATTCCACTTGTTCTACCCGCCGATGCCCAGTTCATCCCTTGAATTTTGGATGGTCTTTTGGGAACAGCCTTTGAGGTGTGACTGAGGCTGGAGTTAAATAGATCCTGACTCTTTGGACACGTGGAGGCCATGAGGTAGGACTCCCAGGTCCCAAGGAGCCTCCGTGTGAGTTCTACCAGCCCCGTAGCGTGGGGGAGGCCTTCGTTACTTGTCTGTGCGCATTACTGCCACTGAAATCTCACGTCTTCAGCGGAGATTCAAATCAGCTTTCTCCTGGGCCCTGTGTATGCATTTCATTGTCTAAAGCTGAAACACAGCACAAGCAGAACAGGGATCCGTCTGGACGTCTGAGCAGGGCTTGTCACGCACGAGGACCAGGCAGCCGCTGTCTCTGTGTGAAGCACGCAGGGTGTTGTCGGTGACCTGGGTGCTGCGTCTACCGTGCTGGTGGGTGCCTCCAAACCCTCTTTCAGGAACAACCCTCTGCAAACCAGCACTATTGTGTGAGTTAATTACATTATGCAAAAGCACCTGACCCTGTGCCCAGGGTTCCTGCCCCCAGACCAAAAAAGAGGGGAGGAGGGGGTGGCCACATGGGAATGCATTGTGGCCTCCACGTGCTTTGTGGCCGAATCTGTCATAGAGGTGCCCTGGGAAAAATGAGTTCCCCCAAAGCAGAGCTTCACCCTCAAGGGACGACAGAAGCATCACTTCCCTTGGCTCCTACGCAGGCAGACTCCCAAGACCGTTCCTGTCCCAGGGCTTAGGGAGGTGGCGTGGTTTAGAAAGTGATGTGCACGATGCCACAGCCATCCTAAGCAAGTACCCGTGTCCTAAGAACGGCCTGGAAACAGGCTCAGCTGAGCGACGTGCCACGCACTGGTGAGTGCTGGAGCTGAGCTGCAGCCCAGGCTGGTGGGGCTGGGGGAGCTCCCCTGGGAACGGAGACTGGAAGGGAATGTGCAGAAGACAAATGGTGGCGATGCCAACTCTGGCATCCCCCCCCCCTGCCCTATGTCTGTGGCCAAGCTCTTGGTCCAGCTCTCCTCTGGACAGTCTCTGGATGTCCCATGGGCACCTCAACACTGAACCTTCATCTCCCCATCTCTCGCACCTGTGTCCTTTATTTAACATAGCAGTCCCCAAACCCCCGGGCCTCAGGACCAGGCTGCAGAGCTCCAGTCCCCCCTCTCCCCCAGTCCAAGGAAAAATTGTCTTCCATGAAACTTAGGAACAAGGGGGCCACTCAGCAGGAGGGGAGCAGTGAGCAACAGACCTAAGCCTCATCTGTATTTACAGCCGCTCCCCATCACTCGCATCACTGCCTAAGCTCCCCTTCCCATCCCCCTCCCCAAGCCCACCCTCAGTCTATGGAAGACAAATTGTCTTCCATGAAACTGGTCTCTGGTGCCAAAAAAAATTTGGGGAACCACTGCTCCAACAGAATTTTCTAACCCTGATGCAAAGACCTTGAAGATAACTTTATTTCTTGCCACCACTACGTCCTGAGACATCACACATAGGCAGGCAGGCAGATCCAGCCTGGGCTCCATCCTTCCAGCCTCCACTGGTTCCCTGCTGCTCCTTTCCTGTCACCTATAGTGCTATAACCCTGGTGACCTATTTATCTCACTCCCCACAGCCTGCCAGATGTATTTGGTCCCAGACACTCATCTGCCTACTGGCTTGTTTGGGTCTCCATTTTCTACCCTATTAAGAAGTCTCTATTGCACAGCCTCAGTTTACCACATAGCCTCATTTTCTACTGCCATCCCTCTCCCTCCATATGCAGCACTTGTCCCTGTACCCTCCTGCTAGGCCTCCGTTCCTTAATGCACCAACCCCTTTCAGTGCCCGGAGCCCAGGCAGTCAATTAGTCTAAAGCCTGCATTCCTCCCCTATGGCAGGTGACAGATGCACTGCCGCTCACCTTCTGCACCCGACCCTGCACTCTCGTGGGGAGGGACCACCCATCTCTGCCCCACAGAACCCTGCACAGGGCCTGGCACCCAGTGCAGCTCGTACAATAACTGCTGGATAAATAAATGACCACTGCAATCAAGAGAAGCCTGTGAGTGCTCCCTGAGCCAGGACCCAGGTAAACTTGAACCAGTTCCAGGCAGTAAATGCACAGAACAGCCTGAGGCTCAGAGTGAACTAACAGCCCTCTCTGTGTCCGCTGCTGATGAAAGTAGAATTGATGTGCCCTGCAGGTCGGAGGGGCTGGGTGCCCAGTAACGCACCTTGTCAAACACTCGGGCTGAATTCTCAGCCTCTGGGTGCCTGCGTCTCCCCACCCGATGGGTCATCCCACAGCCACGGCTGTCTGGACCTGGTGCTGCTAGCTCCAAGGGGACCCAGGTAGAGCCACCGACCTTCCCACCCTCCCACCTGCCAAAGACCCTTGTGCCTCGATAATTAGGCACTTACAGGCCATGATGTGGGCTCTGTTTCCTGGCTGTGCACAGATCTGCTGGGATCGTGGAAATCATTCTTGGGTAGCCACAGAGGACACCACGTCCTCTGACAGCCTCTTTCTTTCCCCGAGAGGCCAGAAACTCACCCGTGCATCCAGAGGCTCTGCTGTCTCAATGAATACACAAAACTGCACCTAAGCCACCAACATTCCTGCTGGCTGCCCACTAGCACCCTGACCCCTACTCAAGCACACAGCAACACCCAGACTCCCATGAAGCACCTGGCTTCCGCAAGCCACCTGCCCACTCTGCAGTGAGCTTTGGCCACCTGGACAGTCAGAGTGACCCCATCTGCCATGTCATAGTGACCGTTCCAGGTGAACCAGAGCTCACCTCATCAGCCCAGAGTGTGCCTGACATTGCCTCCGGAATGGACATATGTTCAATGACACAAAAGGAAAACTGGCTGGGAGCGTTCTTAGAAAAAAGTTTCCTTGCCTGTCTAAAAGATCCTCAAGGAGAGATATGGTAGCAGTCGTGAGGGTCGGAACTCTGGGGGCCTTTTTGCCACCATGAGGGAAGTTGCTTGAGGACCAAGCTGGAAGACGTCCATCCCAGAAAGCAGACACTGAAAGAAAGCAGGGTGCTTGAGAACACTGTTGAGCAGCTGAATCAAACCAACCCTGAAATCCATCTTACCTCTGAGTCTTCCCAGCACATGATCCAATCCTCTTTGGTGGTAGGACCAGCGTGAGACAGGTTTTTTTTTTCCCTGACAGTCCTAACAGGTTCAATCCAACCCAGAAAATGGCTTCCTGCAGAGGGGAAGAGTTCTGCACCAGGAGGCAAAGTTCGATGTTACCCCGAGCCTCCATCCCCCTCTCAATAGGAAGTGTAACTCGCTGCCCTTGCTGTGGGGTGGGGAGTAAATGTGGTCATTGTAAAGTTGCTCACTAGACACCATGAAGACAAGGACTTCACTTGTCCCCTTGCTCTGTGTCTAGTCCTGAGGGCAGAGGCTGGTCCTAGGACAGACTCCCAGCTCCACTGCCAGCCTGTACGGCACCTTTGGCAAATTAGGGAAGAGCACCCTCTGGGCAGACGTCCATCAGCAGGCTTGTGGCCTGGTCAGCAGACAGTTCTCAGCTGCCTTGTCAAGGTCGTCGTGAGATCCTAGTTATCAAATTTAGGGGGTAATTTTCTGTTGTCATTCTCTGCTGTTGGCGACCCATTTCTTTTTAATACTTCCCCTCCACATCTTAGATTGTGCCACACTCCTCCCCTGGTTCTCCCCCCCTCTCCCTGGACCCCCAGCCCACGCAAAAACACTATATGCACTGGGCACTGGCTCCAGGGGCTGAACTCTGACAGGCCTCCCCTCCCCAGCTCTTGCTTCCGTTTCCCTCCACACTTGGCTTCTTCCTGTCCCTCTGCTGCTGGGTTTTCTCTTTGGGGAAGAAAGGATCTCAGCCAAGGTAGCTCTGAATTCACTTTCTCACAGCTCAGCAGTCCAAGAGGAAGGAACACTCCTCCTTCGCCTCCAAGTTTTAAAATCCCAGGGAAGCACTCCGATTGGCCTGGCTTGAATCAAATGCCCACCCCTTGGACAAATCCCTGGGCTAAGTTGCTGTGATTGGCAGCACCCACTAGAATGGCCCCATTGGAGTGGTTTGGTCACCCCAGGAAGGGAGGTAAGGGCTCTGCACAGATACAGAGGAGACTCCACTGCAAGCCCAGGGGAGGAGCTCTGCTTAGCGCTCATGGTGGGGCGTCTTCCCGTGTAGCAGGACACTCAGTCCCCGGTCAGGCGCCTTTCTCTTCTTCTCCCCTTACACAGTGCGTGGCCCGAGATGGATCTGTGAGTGATGTCACCTTTTCTTCCTGGCTCGTCTCCTCATGGGATCCATTTCCCCACCCGCCTGGTGCTGGTTCCAGCTGTTCTGAATCCTTTCAGCCCAGCCCCCACCCCGAGGCTGGCAAAGGCCGCACAACCCTCCCTGCCTACGAGAGACGGGCCTCTTAGCTCCACAGATACAAGCTGCAGGCAGAGAGATGGGAACAGCAAATTGAAGGGAAAACAAAAGCAAATGGACACACCGAGGGATCTGAAGGCCCAGCAGGGTCTCAATAAATGACGCTCTCTCTCTGTGTCCATGGCCAGGCCTGCGACAGCTGAGCCACTGTGAACTGAGGCGGTTTCTATCCCAAACATCTCCCCCAGTGCCCACTATGGTGACTCCAATGTCATCCTTAGTAAAAAATCCCAGTTCAAATGCATATTTTCTAGGGAGGTCAAGGCACAGCCCCAACTGTCAGTCTTTAATAACATAGTATGAACTAGCTCCCAGATTAGACAGGAGGGGAGCACAGCCCGAGAGGTACCTGATGCCGGGTGTTGCGGGATGTGAGGTTGCAATTCCCAGGGGGGACTCTGAGCGCCCTGAAAGCCCCAGGGGGACCCCGGGTGCTGTGTGGAAGAGGGATGCCAGGGAGAAGCCGCTGGGCTCCTCGGTCTGAAATGTTCATGATGTTCCAAAGAAAAGGTGACTTTGTTTCTTAAAAAAAGAAAAATATGGGAAGTGACCTGTGTCCGTGAGTCAGGGTCAGAGGCTGGCTTTGCACCTTTCCGGAGAGTTTGCAGAGTGCAGGGACTAAAGCACCTGGGTGTCCTTGCTAATTCATCTGGTTTAAGTCCTTCAGCCTTTAAGGGATGGGGCCTGGGGCCGGGTGAACGGGACCCCTCCTGCTAGGGAAGGTCAGTGGGGGTCCCGCTGCCCTTGGGGCCCCCAGGTGTGCCATCACTGCTCTGAGGCCCAAAGTAGCTCAGAGTCAAGGCCTCCATGGGCTTCAGGTGGCAAGAAAACATTCAAGGGCGTTTTCTGCTGAGCAGCGGGTGGGACACCGGAAAGAAGACAACACGCCCAGCAAGCCACAGTCTGCTTTCAGAAGCACCCAGTCATGCCTTCACATTCATCCCCCCTCTAAATCTTCCTGATCACGCTGCTCCTTTTGATGTACTGTGCTAATATCAGCAACCGGTGATAATCATTAACATTCTTGTTAATCTAATGAAAAGTCGTATTTTCTGCAAAATAGGCACAGATGGCTGGAATCAAGGGTTAATGCTTTGTCAGCCAGGGAGGTCCGGGGAGCGCCGGCCATGCGTGCTCAGCCTGCAGAGGCCCAGTCGCCTGGACGGACGCTGACACCTGGGAGGAGGGAGACGGTTCTCATCCTCCCAAGTTCATAGATCAGCAAATGGGCCCCAAAAGGGAAGGGCCTTGCTCAGGCCAGGATTCAAGCCTCATCTTCTGGAGGCAGGTAACTACTGCAGGAGTTTTCCACAGCATAAAGTTTGTTTTCCTGCCACCCTTTCCCCAAAAAAGGAAAATTCCAGAAGGTAGTGGCAAGGTACATTCAGAACACACCCTTAAACCTACATAGGCCATTTTCCTCTTGCTGCTCACCTGCCCCAGCTGCCCCTAGGCGTCTGTGCCCGCGTGCCCATTCCTGCCAGTGTGCACCCGTCCGCCGGGCCTCGTGGTGACAACTCTGGTGAGCACTTACCGGGCTCCTCCCCATTGCAGCGGCAGCTTCGTGTCAAGTCTCCTCAGTGACCACACTTCCAGGAAGACAGAGAACTCTGCCCCCGCCGCCTGGAATTTCACTCGGCTCCGGCGCCACTTTCGTCTAGCAGGGGGGACGGTGGCATGTCAGGGCGCTTAAGCCATTTGTGGTAAAAGGATCCGGATGTGCAAATGGCTGAGTTCCCTATTATCGGATTTTTTTTTCCCACTCGATGAAAACCAGATTTTTTTTTTCCAGCTGGCTGTGGCTCCATTCAAGCAATAACAAAAAGAACGTGCTGTGGCACATTATACACATGGTCAGTCTTTCAAAGAGAAAGGCTCGTTTGATGCGGGCCCGCGTGGTGGGTGAGGGGTGACTGACGTTTTCCCCAATAGTTGCTGACCCCTTTTTGTGCACGGCACCGGGGAGGCTGAGCTGGATAGGAGATGCGTGAAGAAGCAAGACGGCAGGGTAGGGGAGAGGGCATGGGCGTGCCAGGCTGATGACACCACAAGGGTTCATGCCACCGGGGGTCTGGGAGGGCCTGGCTAGTTAGGGAAGAGTGAATCATTCCCATGTACCTGGGGGCAGGCTGGAAATCGGGGCTGTGAGTCAACCACGTGGTGGGCTAAGTAGGCAGGTGAGGGGGCAAGGCCAGAGACACGGAGGCCAGTTAGGAGATTTCCTCGTACATTAAGCAAACACGTATTAGGCTCCTACTGTGTGCTGGCACCACACTGGGCCCAGAGGTGCAACAAAGGGAAGAGATACCAGATTCCTGCCTACTCAGGGCTCCTGTTCTCAGATGACAGGCAAACAGACATCGTGATGTGTCACAAAGAAATAAAGATGGGAGGAGGCCAGGGAGGCAGGAGCCGGCCACGGGGCGTGGGGGAGCAGGCAGAGGGAGGTGTGGGCTTTCTTCCAGCCAACAGTAAAAACAGAGTGTGATGAAGGCGTTCAAATGGATTTAGATCCATAACGTTTTTAAACCATGCAATTCCCTTTCAGAGCGTGAGCAAGCTCTCGGAGTACAGAGCACTCCAGAAATGCGCACGGAGCTCTTCAAGTCCATTTATGCGTCTTCCCCTCCCCACCCCCGACCGCCATTCTGGGCCATGTTGATGAAAGGAGTCAAGAATTTCACTCTCTTCGGATGAGCTTTGTGTGCAGCCAGAGTGAGATCTGAGCCTTTTCCCTGTGCCTTTTTATGTTGCAGTGATGGTTTAGGTTCTTTCTTTTTTTTTTATAGATCACATTCCTAATAGGAAACCTAACACATGTGGACACTCCACATGGGCAGAGGTGTTTTAAATGCTGTGTAGATGGAGCATGACTGAGCCAGGTCTGGACGTTGTATTTTTTTAACCATATAAAAAGAGCAAGTCTCTCCTGGTGCTGCAGGTGATTAAGTCCCAAATCTCTGTGAGATCTGAGATCTCAGCCGCTGCCACAGCAAATCACCCAGCTAAACAGCAGCTCTACAAATATAGCACTGCCGGGAATTCCACCCCACAGTGAGGCTGTGCAAAGGCTTTGGTTGCAAGGGTGGGGCCCTCACTATTTTTATAGCCTGTGCATAAGAGGGTACATCACAGAGTCCCCCTGAGACACAGTGGAGAACCTGGGAGACTCCCACAGGGCTCCTCTGTCATTTGGGAAAGGTAATTTTAGCACAGGTGCCTCAAGCTGAGATCTTTGTGTTCGTTTACGCCTTTGGTTTCTAGTTAGCTTTGTGGCTTTGGAGCACCGATATGAGGACATAAGAAGTGGGTGATTGCGGTCTTTTCTGGCTATAAAGTAGGGTTCCCACTAAAGGTCATTTGTTCCCAGGAAAACGCTCTGGCCACCAGCCTCCAATGACAGAGAGAAAGATCCAGGAGCTCCCAATTCCTTTTGGGGATGTGTGTGGAAATATTTTCCCTGTTGGGAGGAAAGAAGAAAGCAACAAGTTATACAGCAATTCAATTCTGGCACTAACTACCTAGAGTTAGCACAGACTCCACAAGTTAAGGGCTTGCCAAGATTGCCCCCACTTCAGACACCAGTCACACCTCTGACCTGCTGGGTACAAATTCAGGGTTCACACAACTCCTTCAGGTTCAATGATTTGCTAGAATGACTCACAGAACTCAGGAAAATGCTATACTTACAATTACATTTTTATTATAAAGGACATAGGTCGAGATCAGCCAAAAAAGAAGAGACGCACAGCACAAAGTCTAGGAGGGGCCCAAATGCAGAGCTTCTGTTCCCTGTCCCCATAGATTCATGGACCGTCACCTTCCCAACACATCAATGTTTTCACCAACCAGGAAGCCCACCTGAGCCCTGGTGTCCATAGTTTTTATTAGGGTTTCATTACACAGGCATGATTGATTGGATCATTGACCACAGGAGTGAATTCAATCTCCAGCCCTCCTCCCCTCTCTGGAGGTCAGGCTGATATCATGGGGCTCAAAGCCCCAATTCTCTAATCACATGGTTGCTCTTTCTGGTTGAGTCAGTCCCCATCCCGAGCCATCTTATTAGCTGAAACTCAGGCAGGATCCACGGGACTCATGAAAAACAAAGGCACTCCTATTTTTCAGGAAACTCCCAGGGTTTGGGAATTTCCTTGCACAGGAACCAGGAACAAAGACCAGACAAAACTTTATTATACAACAATATCCATAGTGGTCCAGGGTCATAATGCAGCCCTCCACTCACACAGCGCCCCAGTGCTTTGGCAGACACGATGAGTCCCAACTTTCCAGCCCTTGGAAGCAAGGAACAGAGCATGATATGGGCACATATCCCCATTATTCACCTATTCCCACAGTCACATAATTATTTCTGGAGTCCTGCCTTGTGCAAGATGCCATGGCGTTTACAATACTTCTAGGCCAATTACTTTATGAGAGCCAGAGGTAGGATTAAGTCCAAACACTACGGAACCCTGTGCCCCTCCCAGGGCCAGCCTGGCTAATGTTTTGGGGAGTTTTATTTAATCACAGCTTTCGGGAAGAATCTTCCCAGGATGGAGGGTTTAGCAGGATGAGAGGCCCTCTTAAGGGACGTTGTTTGAGTGGCTCTGGGTCCATTGTCTCACTTGGGTCTGGCTTTGAGTTGGGGAGCTGGACCAACGGAGGTTAAACTAGAAGAAAACTTTGGGGAAACAACTGAATATCCAGCATTTATGAAGATACCTCCTGTGGAGCCTTTGAGGAATGAAAAAGTATGGCGCTCATTCCGTGAAGACTTAACACTGTGTTAGGACAACACTGATAAACAAGACCCAACCCCAACCCAGCAGTCAAGTTCATGAGGCCCTGCCCTGTGACATGGGGAATGAGGTGTCAGCATCGCCAAGCTCCCCAAAAGCAGAAAAAGGCTCTTGCAGGAACAATACACAGGTGACAGGACCTCGTCTTGTCCTGTTCCAATCCCACCTCTTCCCAGAAGCTTTCCTAGGACCCTCTCACCAAAGGAAAGCCTTCCTCCTTCTCTAGACTCCTGTGAGGTACCCAATCGGGCAACCCTCTTGTGGTGTCTACACCAGTTACTCCCCTGCACTAAGAGTCATTGCATAATCACCTGTGCTTATGAGGGTTTCATCTTCCCAGCTGTGCTGTAAATTGCCCAAGGCCATGAGTAGCTTCTGAGAATCATCTCATGATCACAAGGCCACAAGATCCCAGAGAGGTGCTGTGATTGTCCCCCTCTTATGAGGAGAAATTATATTATACAAACAAGATAAAGTACAATGTGTTAGACTCTGTGCTGAGTCCCAAACATACATATATTTTAGGAAACTAAAGGCCAGAGAGGTTAAGTAACTTCCCCAAAGTCAGACAGCTACAAAAAGGCAGAACTAGAGATTGAACATGAGTATGTAGGATCCCAAAGTCCATGCTCTTAATGAAGATTAATTGGTATCTGCTAGGTGTAAGGCATGGGTCCATCCAGGTACCTGCCCTCAAGAATCTTAAACCTAGTTGCTGCAGTTGGGATACCTGTCCCCCTAAACCTCATGTTGAAGTTCGATCCCCAATGCTGCATGGGGGGGGCCATGGGACGTGTCTGTGTCATGGGGGCAGATCCTTCATGAATGGCTTGGTGCCGTCCTGGCAGCAATGAGTGAATCCTTGCCTGTTAGTTCCTATGAGAGCTGGTTGTTCCACAGAGCCTGGCACCTCCCTGCTCTCTCCTGCTTCCTCTCTCACCCTGTGATCTCTGCACACACCAGCTCCCCTGCACCTTCTGCCATGAGTGGAAGCAGCCTGAAGCCCTCACCAGAAACAGATGCTGGTGCCTCCCTTCTTGTACATCCTGCAGAGCTGTGAGCCAAATAAACCTCTTTTCTTGATGAATCACCCAGCCTCAGGTATTCCTTTCTACCAAAGCAAAGAGACTAAGACAATAGTGCCAGAGGTAGGCACACACATGGGTGTGATGAAAAACAAACTGCAACAGGAGGTGTGCAGAGCTGGTGAGGACAGGGACTTGTCCATTGCAGTAGCCAGAAAGGCCAGGCAGGAGTTGCTGCAGGGACGAAGCCACAGGGCTATGTCCCCATCATAGAGGATGGCAACCACCAGGTTGAGGCATCTGCCCTTCATCTTGGAGGCCCCCAAAGAGCAACTCCCCCTCCTCAGACACAGCAGATGTTTGATCGGGATGCCAGTGTGCTCAGCTATTTCACCATGAGAATTTTGGTCCAAAGCACAATGCCCAGCTCACAGCCATGTCCACCCAGGGGGAGCCAAAGTCAATCCGCTCTGATGCTAACAGGAGCCTCTCAGATGGTTCTGTCCCAGGAAAGATGGTTTAGTTGTGAGCAAGGAGATTGGTGCCTCATAGTGGAGAGTTGGAACAATACAAGGCCCCCGCCAAGCCACCCTGTCATTGGGGGATGATGGCTTCCCCCACGTCAGCAAGGGACCTTCTCCCCACCACCCCGAGCCTTGCCTCAGTTCTTTAATGGGTTCCTTGAATAAAACCAC